GGAGAGAGAGAGAGAGAGAGAGAGAGAGAGAGAGAGAGAGAGAGAGAGAAGGGGAGGGGGGCGACCGAATCAAATGCATCAATGCACGACATGCTGTTAAAACTTTACTCATCTTTCCAGCCTTGCTTGCAACCCCCTTCCATCCTACATCCGCCTTTCCCTCTTGCCAGCCTCCGCTTCTCATTCCTGCCCACTGCTTTGTGACGTAACTCCCCCTCCCCCTAAACTGAAACAAAGGGAAACAATTTAAAGTGTCCGGAACACCGCCCAGAAGTAAAACCAAAACACGTCGCTTGACTTTGAAAATGGACCCGACCTCAATGAGCTCTGGTTCCCCAGGCACGCAGCGCAAACTCTCCACCCCGAGTCAAATAAACTTTTCCTCAGTCAGTGCGGAGGGGTCTTGTGTCAGTCCAGTGCTCAGTCGTTTGATGGAACAACCTGGTATGTACCAATATCGCCCAAATCGACAGGATAAAATATCACGCTATGTTACGTTATATTACGACAATAAAATTTAAATTATGCTATGAACTTAATTTATTCATTATGGGGTTTTTTTCACTTCTCATGCTGGCGGATTTTTTCTTTATTTCTGAGCTCAAGATAGCAAGTAAAGTGTATTCATCCAATGTTAGATCCTTCGTAGTTTGACAACAGAAGATGTTTCTTACGAAAGTTGCGTCGTAGGGAAAGATTTATGTGATAATATCCACTTTTTTTTTTCCACATTAAAAATCGCTACAATAGCGCCCCCTTATAGATGGCTCTAAGCGCTTCACAACAAATTACCGTAAAAATGTCATTAGCTAGCACAAAGACAAGTTTCATACACGAGAGCCCATTCAGGGTACAACAATCCGTTCAAGAACATAATGTTATCATGCACTCAAAATGTACATTGTGACAAAATCAGACATACACAAAATGACAGCCACCACAGTAGCTAATAACACTTGTCTTGTTGTTGACAGTAGAAACAAACTAGCTGGTAAAATAGTATAATTAATTGTTCGCTTGGACAAGCGGGCTAACCCAGATTTCGGGGTTTCCAGAAATCTTGACCTACACCAACAGTGGGCATTGCCCTATCTACATGAGAAGTTTGTTTTCATTGGCGTGTATATTTGTTTGCTTAGAAAGAAAACTCTCCTTGTCTTAAAGAATCTGAAAGACGGTCCACATTTTTTCAATCGATTTTCTCAAATAAGCATTTTTCGGGATAGCCGCCTTGTGCTTAGTCTTTAGACACGAATTGATTCCGGACATCGTAGGCTTCTCTCTTAAATGCGGTTTGGAATTGATATGTCTTATATTCAACGGGTATTTACAAAAACAAAAACAACATCAACAACAGCAACAAAAATAGATAGATACACAAATCATAACAAATACAAAGACAAAACACTATTCAGTTGTAGAATTTGAGATCATATTGTACCATAAAATAAGGGTATTTTGTTGTTGTTGTTGTCGTTGTTGTTGTTGTTGTTTAGGGGTTTATTGCTTTTTGGTTTACTATTTTTTTAGGTAACTCGATACAAAACAGGATTTTGGTAAATACTCTGTTTCCATTACACAACCGGCAGTGCAGCTTGTCTTTCAGCAAGGCTGCTCCACCCCCCGCAAAGACGCACGTGTGGTACAAACTATAATCATGACTCGCACTTACTTTCCTTTTGTGTCTCACTGACAACTTTGTTTCTTTAATTGGGCGTGGTTTCGCGTACTTTACAGCGTTTGTCTGAGTTAGTTATTGCAGGCAGATCCAATTACAAGACAACAAAGTGGAACGTAAGTAGAAAAAGAACGTGTGTGTGAGTGTGTGTGTGTGTGTGTGTGTGTGTGTGTGTGTGTGTG